TCTTTCCCTTCCTCCTCACTCCCTCAAACATTTTTTGAGTGATCGCTTTGTTTCAGGCACACACTGCTAGGCCCTGGGAAAAAAAAAAGATGAGTCAGACTCAGGGCCAGCCCCGGGGAAGCCATCTAATCCAGATCAGCATACATGACTGTTCAGCCATGGCCAGGCCAAAGCAGGCTTTGCCAGTCAATCACAGCACACATTCCCTGGGAGCCTGGGCTCGGCCTTAAGATTCTGCTCTGCGCAGAGCTTCAGGCAGCCATTCTCATCAACTGGAGTTGGTCCAATATATGGAAACTCTTTCCTGTGCCTAGCCAAAAACATTCCTCTTTCCCATAACAAGTCTTTGGACATCATCACACAGCAGAATTCTCCTATGCTCATCCCCAGGGTCATTTTCTTCTCGAAGAAAATGACATTGGTGACTTCAACTCCTGAACCTGGTCGGCTGTTGAGTCATCCTCGTGGATAGGTGTTGGAGCACAGTTCCTGGAGACAGAAAGACTACACCTGAGTCTTATCCCCACCGCTGCATCCTCCCGAGCCTCGGGTTTTGGATGAATTTTCTAGAGCTCCTGTAACGAATTCCCACACACTCAGTTGCTTAAAATAAGACGAATTTATTATCTTTCAATTCTGGAGGTCAGAAGTCCAAAATAGCTTACAGGACTAAAATCAAGATGTCATCACGGTTGCGTTCCTTCTGGAGGCTCCAGGTGAGAATCGACTTCCTCGCCTTTTCTGGCGTCTGGAGCCTCCTGCCCGCATTCCTCGGCTGCTAGCTCCACCCTCCCTCTTGGAAGCACATCACTCCAACCCCTGCTTCCATCTTTGCGTCTCATTCTGACTCTGACTTCAGGGCTCTGAATGCTTGTTCCTGCCTCCACTTCTGCCCCCGATTCCTATGTTGAACTCCTAACCCCACAAAGATGATTGTATTAGGAGGCAGGGCCTCTGGGAGGTGCTTGACTCACTCATAAGGGTAGAGCCCTCATGAATGAGATTCGTGCCTTAAAAAAAGGGGCTCCCAGGAGATCCCTTGCCCCGTCTACCTTGTGAGGACAGTTAAAAGGAATCTGCTATGAACCAGGAAGAGGGCAAACATGATTAACATAAAGTAACCATGTTTACTTTTATCGCAATGCTGGCACCTTGATCTTGGACTTCTCAGGCTCCAGAACTATAAGAAATAAATTTCTGTTGTTCATAAGCCACCCAGTGGGTGGCATTTTGTTATGGTGGTCTGAACAGACTAAGACACTTCCCCTCTGCCTCCCTGTTATGAGGGCCTTTCTGATCACATCACCGGGAATAACCCGTGATACCTTTCCCATCTCGAGATCATCATCAAAATTATATTTGCAAGGTCCTTTTTGCCATGTGATATAACATCCGTAGGTTCCGGGGATTGGAACAGGGACAACTTTGAGAGCCATTATCCTGTCTGCTACAGGTTTCTTACCCGTAAATGGGGGTATTGATAATCTACCTCATAGGCTTGTGGGACGATTATGGGAGAGGATTCATGTGAAGCCCCAAGCAGAGTGCCTGGCATATAAAGAAGCACTTGCCATCATGTATTTACAGCCAAGGAGGTTTCTGCATTCATGGGAATGGGTACTGGGGAGAGCTCAGAGCCCTGACCGCTGGCCCTTGGCCCTGTATGCCATCTCTTCTCTTCCTTCTGGGCACCCTCTGTCTAACCTGGTGACGGAGGAGCGAAATCACTGCAAAGTTATATTTAGCATCGTTTCTAGGCTCTTCACTCCCCTCCTCATATCTCCCAGCTTTCATACAATCCCCTGATTTGTATGGAGGGGTGGTCCTGGCACAAGCAGCATCAGAACCACCTGGGAATTTGTTAGGGCACTTAGTTGGTTAGTTAGGCTCCTCCCCAGACTAACTAAAGCATAAACTCTGGGGTGGGGCCTTAAGGTTTTAAGGAGCCCTCCAGAGGATTCTAATACTCCCTCAAGTTTGAGGAGCCACGGATGAAGCATCTACTCAAGGACCACACCTACAAGGTAGATACAGTAGTAGCACCCCCATGGCACAGAAGAGGTTGCGGGGCTCAGGGAGAAGAGTGTCTCCCCTAAGGCCATGCAGGTAGGAGGTGGTCGAGATCCCGTTGGAATCCAAGCAATTCCACATCACCCTGTACCTCCTCCCTTGGGCGCCTGGCTTCACAGTGCCACCTGGACATAGGTGATCTAGGGGAGGCTCTAGCCAGCCACTCCCAGGGCACAGCCCTGCCCAAGGACCTCTCCCTCTTTACCTATTGTGTGTCATTTGGGGCAGAGCCTTGCATTAGGCTCCAGTCTCAGGGTCTGATAACCAATTTACACTCAAGAGTAAATGGCTGATAACACCTGCCTTCGGGGGTCACCTGCTCCTTAGAGGATGTTGTAGTAACTAGAGAAAAGAGAGGGCATAGCAAGGGAGGTGTGTGGTTCAGGCACCTTGTCATGAATGTCTCTATGTTTTGACAGGAGGGCTATGGACTTCTGAGTAGCAGCAGAACAGTCTCATGGAAACAGCACAGGGCACTGCTATGTCTGACTGGGTCGTAACTGCCTAGGGTCATTGGGCAAATCACTTCATTTCCTTAAGTCTTCATTCGCTTACCTGTAAAAGGGCATGATTCCTACATCAGGTCCCACTGGGAAGATTACATGAGACAGCCTGTATCAGGTGGCCTTCTCCTCCCCTGACTGCCCTGGCAGGCTGCTGTGACCTGAGCCCAACCAGGGCACGGTCACCCAGGTTACAAAGTAGGTAGGCCCCTTACCGGGGCAGCATCTTGTGCCAACCGTCTGTGCCACGTGCCGAAGAACTGCCCAGGGTCAGAGTGCCTAGCAATCCCTGCTTCTGGAAGTCTTCCCTGACGCCAGCCTGAGCTCCAGCCACGTGGGAAGCAGCGGGGGCGCTTTGTCCGGAGTCTGGTCCTGGCTTTGCCACTGACCCGCTGAGTGACATGGACAATGCCCTGTCCCTCTTTGGGCCTGAAGCCTCACCTGAAAAATGAAAGTGAGATGTAAGGACGTATAAGGGTCTTCCCAGGCCAGCTTGGTAAGCATCCTCTGGACTCCTTTAGCAGCCCTGGTTCCCTGGCTCTGGTAGTGAAGTGTATCCTGCTGGGGTTGTTCCCACAGCCTTCTGTGAGATGTGCTGTTTTCTGCCCTGCATGACTAAGTTCTTCCAGGAAAGGCCTTGGATCGTATGGCTCTTTATTTTGTCTTCAGCCCTGCGCTTAGCGCTGAACTCTACACATCATTATGCTCCATAAAGACCTGCTGATTAATTCCCAAAGATCCTGGTTTTGCTCAGGAGAGCATGTTTCTTTCAAGATATCACCTCCTCCAGGAAGCCTTTCCAGATGTCACCTCCCTTCAGACACATGTACAGAATTACTCCACCACCCACCCCCACAATTCTCCTCATGCTCGAGTGATCCCTCCCTTCAGATTCGTCAGGAGGTTTCATTGTTCTTTGAACAATGCCTGGCACATCCAATAAATGGAGGTTGAATTCACTTGAATTACAGTCTAAAGGAAGAGGGGGAAAGAGAGAGAGAGAGAGAGAGCACCAGAGTCTTTGCAGAGGTGGGGGCAATAGCTAGAAGGGGCTCTCTTCCAGGAAGGCCTGCAGATGGCAAACAGCTGGTGGGATGTGTGTGTGCGCATATGTGTGTGTGTGCATGAGTGTGTGTGAGTGCATGTGTGACTGTGACTCATCCCACTTCTGCAGGCTGGGGGATGCTGCAGACAGGCTGAGACAGGAGTCAAGGCCTAAAGGAATTTGGATAAGGATAACACAAGCCCTGGAGTATTTCTAGAATGCAGGAGGTTAAGGGTGCGGGGAGCCAGGTCAGGGCAAAACTGCCTGATTGTGTTACTTGTTTGTTTATTTTTTTGCCTGGATAAAATATTCACATGGTGCAAAATTCGAAAGGTACAAAGGGGCACAGTGAAGTCTTCCACCCTCCTGTTGCTGCCACCCGGGCCCCTCCCAGAAGCAGCCTGTATGTCCAGTTGCTTCTATATACCTCCTTCATGTATTTTTTTCTCCCCTTTGAATACAGGAAAGCATATCATCCACACTGTTCTTCACTTGTCTTTTTACTTTAACATATTTTTGCGAGCTTTTCATTTTAGCACATAAAGAGCCTCCTCGTGCCTTTGTCCTAAAATACAGGATGCCCAGTTAAATATTTTTCTTTTTTTTTTAGGCGAGGCAACCCTTGGTCGACCTCACATATTACAAGGACCCTGTCAGCTTACAATCCCTTATTTTTTTTTTATTTTTTACACCTACAGCACCTGGTCTTCCTAGGTGGTCTCCTATCCAAGTACTAACCAGGCCCAACTCTGCTTAGCTCCCGAGATCAAATGGGATCGGGCTTGTTCAGGGTAGTATGGCTGTAGACGCCCAGTTATTTTTGAACTTAACTTTTTAGTATAAGTTTGTCCCATGCAATATTTGGGACATACTTATACTAAAAAAACCCAGTATTTATTATTTATCTGAACTTTAAATTTAACTGGGCATTATGTAATCTTATTTGCTGAATCTGACCCCCTTGCTGCATTCATGGGACTCCTCAAAAACTGTGGAGGCTTCGGGAATCGGGCACCTGGACCTAGTGGGCATCCTCTCTCCGGCCTTATTCTGAATTGGACCCTGCCGGCGCCAGGGTTTGGGCCCGTGCTGAATTCCCATCTCCAGGCCTCTTACCGAGATAAGGAATAAAAGGCTCTTAGAGTCATTCGGCCCATCTTCCTTGTTCAAGGCCCAGAGAAGGGGATGATTCACTCAAAGTCACACAGCAAGTCAGGGCAGAGTTGGGGCTAGGCCCTGGGTCCCTGTCTCCCAGCCAGTTTTTTTTTTCTCTCAAGCAGCTCAGTATGATACACGCATGGGGTCAACAGTGATGATTCTAAGCCTGAGCTTTTGGAACATGCGCAGACAGGAAGGCAGAAGCACAGGGCCCCAAGTTCTGTGGGGAGAGGCTGGCCCACAGAACACCTGGGAACCAGGAGATATTCAGTCTTGGGTCTGAGCCCCAGAAGGCCCAGCTCACGGGAATAATAATAATATATTAATATTAATAATAATAATAGCAGCTACCACTGTGCTTATACAGTGCTAGTGTTTTCATAACGTATCCATCTTGACACTCACAAGGGCTCTGCAAAATGAGTGTGATCAGTCCCATTTCTCCCAGAGGGACACTGAGGCTCAGAAAAGGTAGATAATTTTATCATTTGCCAAGACCCCCCAACCAGGAAGTGGCAGCACTGGTTTAACCCAAATACATTTCACTCCGAGGTGCTCAAACCCTTTCCACTGGGATTACGTGCACCTATCAATATTATATTTGTGCCACTTTTCAAGTAAGAAAACTGAATACTTGTGACAAGCCCCCTACCCGAGAGACCACTTTAGTTTTACAACAGTCCAAAGCAGGAACAAACTTCTGGTCCCTGTGGCCCGCAGGATGAAGGCCAAACCCTCACTGGTCCCTCTTTTGACCCTTGACCCTGTCCTAGCCCACTTCTCCCAGCTCATGGCCTGCTGTTCTGTCCATCTCCCCAACAGGCCACCCCGTTTCCTCACCTCCGCACCTCCATGCTTTGGATCAAGTGGAAAAAGGCAGGTAGAAGCACTAGGTCCAAATATTGATTCGGTCAGTTACCTGCTGGGTGACCTTAGGCAAGTCACTTCACCTCTCTGAGTCTCCCTTTCCTTGGCTGTAAAGTAAAGAAAGATGTGCCTAAGTCTCAGCCTAGGACCTGCCCTCCACATTATGAACTGATGAACGTGTGCTGTTGGAAGGATAGGAGGCAGGGAGGAAGGAATTTATTGTGCTCCCACCAAGTGCCAGACCCTGTGAATGACGCTAGGGACACTGGTGAACAGGCGGATACAGTCACCACTTTCCTGGAGATTTTTCTCGAAAGGGCTGCGGATGTGGTTAATTCCAGCAGGAGGTTAAGCAACTGGGGCTTTGTAACTGTGGGCAGAAATTCTCCTGAGCCATGGACTTCAGCCAGGAATGACGGTGGGGAATTACCCTAATATGACAGGAAAGAAAGGAGACTTGCCCCAGTTCACTCAGCTTTCAGTGCTTGGAGCCTGAATTTGAACCTGGAGTCTGCTTTGGCATCCACCCTGGTTCTCTCTTGGGTCCCTAGGACTTAGCCGCAGGAGGAAGCTCATGAAAGAGAGATCGGGGGCCCTAAGAGAAAGCAGGTGAAAAGACAGGCCTTTCTAGGCCCTTACCCACATAGTGAGGCCCAGCCCAGCCAGCCCTTGGCAGCGAGCGCCTCGCACTCAGGTGTGCCCCTTGGCAGGGAGAACCTGGCTGCGACTCTCTCCTGCCACCGTCTGTGGGATGAATGACTGAGCAAACGCTCCCCGGTCTGTCTCGTCCAGCCCGAGCTCTCCGCCCCCACCCACGTTTCTCAAACACCCAAGCACCTGATTGTAAACGGAGCTGGGGGCAGGGAGCGGAAGTGGGGGACTGGGGGGCGGAGGGGGACGGCAGATCAGGGAACTGAAGCAGAGGCCCACTCAGCAGTTCCTTCATGTCTTCACTGTTTTCTTAAGGAATCTTGTGCATATTGCATTCCACTCCCTAGCGGATCTGTGTTCCCCCCCTGCTCCCTCCCCGCCCCATCCCGTGTTTGTTTTAATAACAATCAACCTTTTCTGTGACTGTCTCTCCAGTGGACAGTGGCTTCCCTCGAGGGCAGGGCTGCAGGCTACCTTACTCAGTGCCTGCGGTCCTCAGCACAGGCCTAGTCCAGATGGGTGAGCTATGCTTGGAAAAATGAGAGAATGAATGAATGAGGCAGGGCGATGTGTGCGGGGGAGTGTGGTAGGGCCCCCCCAATAATGGCCTCCCAACCTGTCCACTTCCTAATCCCTGAAACCTGTGCATACCTTACCTTATATGGCAACATGAACTTTGCAGGTGTGAGTAACTTAAGGATCTGGAAATGAGAGACCAGCCTCCTCTTCCTGATGGTCTGTCTTGTGGATTTCAGACTCACTGAGCCAGCACCCACAATTGCATAAGCCAATTTCCTACAATCGGTCAACCAATCATTTTATATATATATAATATACATGTCATATATATTATCTATATGTTATATATATATATCCTCCTCATTCCGTTTCTCTGGTGGAAGCCTGAATGATACTGGAGCCAAGGGAAATTGGCCTCTGGGTCTGTATTTGGGAGACCATTCAGACTGGGATTATGAAAGGCAGAGAGACAGCCCAAGAAAGAATAATCTAGACGGTCTGGTGTCCTTCAGTTGGGGCCTGCCTTGGCCCAGGTCTCCAGGGAGGCTGGTCCACTGACCTTGGCCGTGGGCAGGGTGGAGGTGGAGTGCAAGGCCCTCACCGGCAGCTGAGCAAACAGAAGAGCAGTGGGGGATGGGAGGCAGCAGAGCCAGGAAGTTGGCAGTGAGGGAGGGAGGGATGGAGGGGAGGGGTAGGCCCTGGAGCACTGAATGCAGGGCGAGGTCTCTGGGCGAGGGAAGAGGCCTACAGGCACTAGAAAAGCCAGGCTGGGCTGGGCCCTGGGGACACAGCAGAAGATAAGGAATAGCCCCTGCCTCCTGGGGCACACTGTGCACTCCCCAGGTTGCCTGGTGTAGTTAAGTATAGTGCATGGCACAAAATAAATAATTACCGAACAAATTATCTGAGACCAGGCCCAGCAGGTAGGGGACCTAAGATGGAGCATTTGACAAATAAGGTCTGGGAAGAAAAAAGAAGTTGGCTTAGTGGAGGCTGGGAGTAGGGAGCTGAGATGAGAGGGGGCCTGGGCTCCGAGGTAGGCTGCCTGGAGGGGGAGGACCAGCTGCCCATGCCCCTTCCTTCGGGAGCCAGCACGGTGGCAAGGGAGAGAGTTGCTTCCTGCCTCCCCTCAGTCCACCCACCCAGGGTAACTTTCCTAAGGACAAGCCCCACCTCCTGCGAGGGCTAATTGGAGCCGGATCTCTGCCCTCCAGCCCCAGCCCTCCATTTCTCCTCAGACCTCTCCCGGGCTGTGGTTTTAGCAAACAATTTGGATCATTCTAGAGCTGGCAGAGGAGACCTGGCCCCTTCCTAAGTGGTGGTAAGAAATGCTCTGCATTCCTGAGTTGG